TACTACCTAATCATACCGTAACCAACATCAATACTTCTTCTTAGTTGAAATCATAATACTTCTAGTTATTTACGACTCTTATGAATACTTAGTAACTATCTACCATTCACGCTTCATGCATTTAAATCGCAAAATAATGGAACTTCAACGAAAACCAACAGAGTGGGTTCAACACTTCCCTCCTCTGTCCTTGCCACACCCTACCAAACACCCTCAAATATTTTGGAATCTACGACGTCGCACCTCACGAACACTTCCGAATAATCCTACGAGGAAAAAAAAAACTACAAAAATTAGTTCTTTAAGAGACTATTGATACTATCATCTCGAGGACTGGCTTGCCTCTCCCAAGCTTAAGCCATTTCTTCCCTCGACGCGTCTCCTGGATAAAGTTTTCCCTACAGAGACTCACAGCAGCATGAAAAGCATCAAATTCCCATTCAACCTGAGGGATTTCTAAAGCCGAGGAGATCTACAAAGGGAGAAACAGTCACAGATCCAATCTTACCAAACCGCGAATCCGCCATTTCTTTTTCGTGACGTCATTTGAAAACAAGCGAGCGATTCTCGTTAAATACGTGTTACTTTTTCTTATATTTTCATGTAATATTATGAGAATCTAAATTATATTGTGTCCACTAGAGTACCTTAAAGTTAATTACTTATCGTTTCATAGCGTATATCGTCAAAATTAAAGAATATTATTTATTTAGAATCGCAAAGATTTGTACCCTAGCCTGAATCAAAAAAAAAGAAAACTTTGATTCAGAACTACATATTACGACACAATAAAGTATTCCTACAAAGAACAAAACATATAAACATATTATAAGAAGAAAGAAGACACATAAAAAGGACCAAAGGGATATAGACAACACGAGTCTAAAATCCTATATAAGAAGAAGAAAAAAAAGGGAAAAAAAATAATACCAGAAACTAACATAAAAGACTCTAATAGCTTTCATTCCAATCGATTTTTTTTTTTTACAAAGAACGTCTTCAAAGCATCAATACCGCCCAAACTAAGGAAAAAAATCTTTACAAAAAAAACCCTAGAGATAAAATTCACATCCAGCAGCGGCGACTCAGCGGATGTGAACGAACGTCTTGTTTACATTGCGTGGAGAGACTTTCCTTTGACAATTATATCCGTATGTATGGTTTAATTTCGGGGACTGTTTTTCTCTTTTTCCTCTGGGTAGAGTCTATGAAGGACTGATTCAGCTAGGGATGAAGTTATTTGCGATAGTTTTGTTCTATGACATGTTTTTTTAATGGTGTCTTTAGCGTAGATCTGTCAGGTAGAGTGACTCGGGAGGATGACTGCCTTAAGACATATGTTCCGTCATTTTTTTCCCATTAGATGAAGGTTTTATTGCTTAGGAGGTTATTCATTGAAAACCCACATTATTTGCTGCTTTTCGAATAGAGTCCAAAATCATTATAAGAAACAAAACACATTATAAGAAGAAAGAAGACCCATGAAAAGGACCCTAGGGATATAGACAACACGAGACCAAAATCCTAAATAAGAAGAAGAAAAAAAAAGAAAAAAATAATAATGTCAAGGACTAACATAAATGACTCTTATAGCCTTCATTCCAAACTAATTTTTTTTACATAGAACGTCTTCAAAGCATCAATATCGCCCAAACTAAGGAAAAAAATCTTTAAAATAAAACCCGAGAGAGAAAATTCACATCCCTCAGCGGCAACTCAGCAGATGTGAACGAAGGTCTTGTTTACATTACGTGGAGAGACTTTCCTTTTGACAATTATATCCGTATAAAACCCTATAAAAGAAGAAGAAGAAGAATTATATCCATACGTATGGTTTAATTTTGGGAAGGGTAGAGTCTGTGAAGGATTGATTCAGCTAGGGATGAAGTTATATGCGATTGTTTTGTTAAATGACATGTTTTTTTTAACAGTGTCTGTCAGATAGAATGACTCGGGAGGATGACTGCTTTAAGACATATGTTACGTAATTTTTTTTTTCATTAGATGAAGATTTATTGCTTAGGAGGTTATTTATTGGAAATCCACATTATCTGCTGCTTTTCGAATAGACTCTATCCAGGTATAACAAACTGTGGTCGTCATACTGGGGTTGATATTAAATACCCCCGATACCCAAGTGGTCTTCCATTAGGAGTGTTTGTCTTGTTTTCTTTTTTGTATTTTTGGAGTAAACGTTACAGATCATGTGAGATAGACTGTAAGATTTTGGATACTTTCCACTCTTCTTGGTTCCTAGGAAAGTTATACATTTTTAAAGGCCTTTCAAGCTGTTGAATCTTAAGTTCCTCTCCCAGACTCGTAGCTTGTACCCTTTTTGGTTTGCCATTTTCTGAGGTCTATATTTGTCAGTTGTAATACTGTATCAAGATGATAATTGACTGTTATCATTGAGCAGATGCCATAGTATCTCTTCAGGTACTTTACACTCTGTACCATAACAGTAACAACAAATAGCATTGTGTTATCTTCTTCTTCTTCTTTTTTTTTTTTTTTTTTTTTTTTTTTTTTTTTTTTTTTTTTTTTTTTTTTTTTAAGGTTTTTATTATTGAGTTTTACATCACAGGTTATGGTAAGCTAGAACAGGTTCCTGTGAGTGGGCCTAGTGTAGAGGCAGCCCTCTCCCAGGCATGGTTGAAAGCTGGTAAACTTCACCCTTGTGGACCAGTAAGAATCCTGCATGAGTTCATTAACAAGCCCCCTCTAAGGTTAATCTCAATCCAAGTATCTTGTACACTCATGGAAAATTATCCCACCACACAAAACTCAACAAAAATTCCCATGGTTAATCTTTACGGTATGGATGGACTAAGCTAGGGCAAACTGAAGATGATATTCTTATAGAGGATAAACAGTTGTGGTCTGTTTTACAAGAAATATTTTGCAGACACAAATGGTAATGCTACAAATAAAAGAAAAGGATTGCGGAAAGTGATGCTAAGTCCACTCAGTGCTCTTAAGGTGAAGAGAATGTTTCCCGGGGCTCATTGGGGGGCAGAGCCCCACATTAACCCTCCCCTCAGACAGTGTCCAAAGGTCACACCCAGTCACAGCAATTTAGATTGCTGAATTAAGTATGTGACATGGAGTAGTGGATCCATACTGTATCACCTGCCCCTTGGCCAGTTTTCTTAACCCAATGGTGACGGGTGAAGAAAAGTTAAAAAAAAAAACTCTTCGCTCTGGCGATCAATGGCAGCGTACCGACTTTGAGTGTGGGAGTTCGGTACGTCAGGCCGAATCACCGGCTCACCACACCTTTTGCCACATTTTGAGCAGTTTGTTTTCACACCTATAGGTGTCATCCGTTGTGAAAGGGTTAAGAAAGAGAGAAACAGTATAAGTTATTAAAATAATCTGCAGAAAGTAAGAGTCAAAGTCCATGAACCTATACTCTGCAATTCCATGACCTCTGTGCTTTGCAACCAGGCAGAGGCAAACAAGGCCTATATAGTCTTTGTTCTATGCTTTCCTATTCTAAACAAGTCCCAAATTGTTTCTCAGTCCAAATGCCAGTCTCTGGTTTACACCTTTCTATGCTATCTATTATTGTAAAGGTCATTGTCCATGACTTTTGAAAGTAAATGCTTGCACTTTCATGTATAAAATCTAATGTAAATTGTAGATATATCATTACTTTTAATTTTATTCTAGTTCAAGCCTCAGTGCTTCAGTAATTCATTCGTGGAAGGAAAATGATGAGCAGCATTTGTTTAGAAGGTACTATAGTTCTACTAATGGAGGTGTCATTGCATTTGGGATCAGTTCTGTTAGAGAACCAAAAGTAAATTTAATTCTGAAATGAAAAGGTAAAGAAAGCAAGGATACTGTATACTAATTTGCAGTGTCTTTCCTCTGTTTGGACTGAGAAAGAAGCTTCTGTGCATAGAGTAATTATCTCAACTTTTAGTATAGTAATGTAGTTACTATTGTATGACACTTAAAGTAAATTCCTCTTTTATTGATTTTTCCTTTTTTTTCCACAGAGAGATGCAGTTGGAAGCACAAGCCATCGTCCTGGCAGCAGGGCCTGGGATGAGGATGACCACCCTCACAAACCACACCCCAAAGTGCCTTCTCCCTCTTGGAACTCTCCCCATGATTTGCTATCCCCTTCAGCTGCTCCAGGAGGCAGGCTTCACAGGTGAGTCTTTGGTGGGGGGATTTTTGCCATTTCTGTTTTACTTGGTGTTCATCGGAGGAACTGTTAGAGTTTTGTGATATTTATTTTATGGTATTTGTTTATTTATTTATTTATTTAGAAATGTTAACTGCAGTATTGTTTTGTGAAAGATATCTATACATAGATTACTCCACAAGAGCTCAGCCACCAAGGAGTCAGTTAGTATACTACATGATCTCACCAGATTTCCCCCTTCCTTAAGTTTCCATGATTTTTGTTCTTTTTCTTTTTTTCAGTACTAATAATGATATATTAATATTTCCAAAAATCAAGGAAAAGGGTAAACAGGAAGATAGGTTACTTAGCATTTGTGGAGCATGTGTGTGTAAATACAATTAATTTACTGAACTCACTGTTAGAATGTCATGTACATACATACCATCCCTTGCAGCATTGGTTAAAATTTGTTAACAAAGGAATCATGTGCATAAGTTAAGACTTAATAAGTGCCCCTGCAGTTATTGATAGAACATATATTAAAAATTATATGATGTTCAAAAGTGTTTGAATGCTTTTCCAGTGGATCTAGATTATGTCTCTTAACAGAGGTAACTGTTGTGGTCAGTGCTGGGGCTGAGCAGAGCATAAGCAAGGTAGTTGAGCAGTACAGCCTCAAGCTCAACCTGGACATTGCAACTGTCAACACATCCGACGACCCAGGGACAGCTGACTCACTTCGTCACATTGCTGGGAAGATCAAGGTGTAGAAGTGGAATGTTTTATTTTCATACATTTTAGGAAATTTATTTTGTATGATAAAAGTCTTAACTTATCTGTATGTCTTTGAAAAAGAGTAGGAATTTTCCTACAGACATTCTGTATAACTAGATCATAACTTTTTTTCTCTCTCTCTCTCCATACAGAAAAGTGTTGATGACGTTCTCATCATTAGTAGTGACCTAGTAACTGATGTGAAACTGCAATCAGTCATGGACCAGCATCGGTCAAGAGGTTCTGCACTCACGATGCTCACTGCTAATCACCAGCCACAGTTTCTGAAGGCTGTTCCTCCTGGTCCTAAGACAAAATCCACCCTTAGTAAGTGACAACAGACCCTGTATGTAGTACACTAAAAGATATTTTAAGATTTTGCATGTCAGCTATGAGCCCAAAATTAGAACATTTTATTTACCAGAATGACACATAAGTTGTTGATCCTTTCATTCCCACAGTGCAATAGTGATCAGGAAATGGAGGTAGGTGTGTTATAGCTATGCTCCTTTGATAAATGATTGCCTCACACCTGGTATATTACTGTGATCGAGCTATAAAATCAATATTTCTTTTAACAGTTCTGAGTTTGTTTTTTTCTTTCTTTTTCTTTTTCATTTTCTTTCTTTCTATGTCTCAGTATCTGCAAGCTCTTGTTTTATTTTATGGCTTTTAGCTAAAAAAGATGGCAAGGCTAGGTAATTGAAGGTTGTGGATGCTGGCTTTACTTCTGAACAAGCTTTTCAATTCCTAGGTTCAAAGGTGCAACATGGAAATAACTTAGCAAATTTGTAGACATACATAAATTCACAACTACAGAAGTTGGTAAAATGCAAGAAAATGTACACTAAAGACCCAGTATTGATAACTTCTAGGATAGTGTATGTGAAAGTTGTATTTTGTACTGTTTTTCCACACTTCATATTGGACAAAAGCTTTGATTGTTTTTATTTGCAGGTAGTGATGTCATCTGCACAGAAAGTGGTACAGGCCGTTTAATGTTTGCTGTTGCTGGAGGTGATTATGATGAGGTAGTCACACTGTCTAGTCGTGTCATGAAGAAGGCAAAGTCACTTGATGTGTCGACATCCGTCACAGATGCTCATCTTTATGTCATGAAGAGGTGGCTTCTGGATTATGCACTGACCAAAGAGTAGGTTTTAATATTTCATTGGTGTGTGATTTTTACAAACTTCAAAGATATAGTTTTTTTTTCTGTTGTCTTTGGGATTTTTAAAAGTAAGTTATTGGTCATTACTCTCTTAGCTGTCATGAAGTATTGTCAAGTTTTCTTCTTGTTTTTCTTTTTCTTCTTCCTCAAACAGGCATACCCAGTGAAAAGTTTTTGAAACACAGTTAAATATGCACTTGAATTTCACTGTGGCTTATGATTTCTAGATGGATAGGCAAATTCATTGAAATGTGATATTTGTAAGTATCTTTCTCTTATGCCAAAGATTACAAAACATTTTAATATTTTCTAATATATGTAGACCACTTTTTATACCTTCTTGTCTATCCTGGGTTGATTTATTGTAATATCTGGTTTATATTTTTTCCTATATTTTTCCCCTCTCCATCTATTTACAGATGTCTGGTTAACATACAGACTTACCCATATATTTCAGGTCTCCTTGTGCTGAAATGGGCTCATTGAAAGCAGAAATTATTCCTCATATTATTTCACGTCAGTTAATGAACCCTCCAACAAAAGAGAGGAATGAGAGAAATTTAGGTATGTTACAAGTACTATAACTGTGTGAAATCTAGTATGGTAATATTGCCATTATACAGACAAGAATTTCTTTTTTTCCATGGTTTCATTAAGTGGTTTTTAAAGGTTGCCTTTATTAACAGATATCTGTGATTTGATGGAGGAGGAAGAGTATAACGACCTTGTTACAAAGTACAATAGCAGTGTAGTTCTGTCACGGCACCACAACTCAAGGGTACTTGATGCACGAGTGTGTCATGTTTACCACCATCCAGGATACTGCATTCGTGCAAACACTCTTAATTGTTACTGGGAGCTCAATCGAAAGGTCGGTACAAATTTGACTTTGTAAACAATATGATTCATGATACATGGTTTACAGTCATTAGATGCAGTTTTTGCAGAGTAGTTAGGGTTTTGGCTTATTAAACTCACTAAAGCCAGAATGGCATTTACATGCAGGCCATGTCCTCTGTAGTTTTAGTTTATTGATTTTATTTATGCTTAGATGGCTACACAAGAGCTTAGTCCTGATTTTCAGAAAGATTGTTTTTTGTTTTTTTTTATTGCAATTGGTATTTTAATCATATTATGAGAATCATAATGTCAATAATGATAATAATAACAGTAGCAGTATGGATAGAATTTAACCCCTTGGATGCAGGTGCTTCACAACAGTCACATGGTCCAAAATACTGGCATTAAGCTTACATAAAGTTCACAAAACATAATTACAAGAGGACAGTACATGTACCCAGCACCAAATCACATGTTATTTAGGTACTTATAAAGATATGAATTTGTTATTTCGAAAAACAGTAAAATGTGGCTTTGCATGTGATAATGGAAGGAAGGGGCACATATGTAAAAGATATGGTTGTCTTTACCTCTCTGTTTTCTTTTCAGATGCACTCATTATTCAATGAAGTTTATCCCAACTCGGCATGGAGTGTTAAACACCCATCAGCTGATATACAAGAAAAGGCACAGGTTAGTTTTCCATATGTTATGATCTTTTAGTCCATAAGACATTGAAAATATATGGTGAAAAATAGAAAAGTATAGGGACTTTAACCACTTTAAGAATTTTTAATTTTATAGATTTTCATCTTTTTAATAATAGTGATAATAACAGTCATGATAATGATAAAGGAAATACCATGAAACCATAAAAAGAGAACCATCTGTTAAACCCATCTTTGTTCCAGGTTAGCCCAGACAGCATGATTGGCTCTGGGTCAGTGATATGCGACAAGACAAATATCACCGGCAGTGTTGTAGGGAACCATTGTCGGATCAACTCATTTACACGTTTGGTCAACTCTGTTCTGAGTGATCATGTTACCATTGCACAAGGGTGAGTAAGCAGTAGTTTATGTAGGATGTATTTACTTCCATGTGTTTATTTGGTTTGAGATTTGTTTCCAAGAGATAAAGAAAAGAAAAAAGGCACACGTAAAAGGAGTGCAGGAAATTTCATGTAATTAAAATTTTTATTTATTATGTGGAGGAAAATGAAAATGTGGAAAATTTGTTTTTCTGGTCACAGAAAGTTTTCTTAGATTTCATTTTCCTTGCCTTTTTTTTTCTTTTTTCTTGCCAATTATGATATGAAACATGTAGTATACAGGTTTTCTGGTTCTGTATATCTGTAAATTATTTTAACAAACTAATTAAAAGCTCAAGTATTGTATTTACACAATACTACTCTTACTCACTAACAGTATGATAAAATAACAAGAACTTCTTTTCTACAGGTGTGTCATCGAAAATAGCCTCATTACTACAAACATAGAGAGAAAGTGTCACATCAAGAACTGTATTGTTACTGACCCAAACAGGATTGAGGAAAATAGTAAGTATATTTTTAGTACCATTCTTTGTCATTTTTCTTATTTTTCTTTAGCAATTAGTAAAATGTTTACGCTTTTGGGATCTGTAGACGTAGTTATATATATGTGACAAACAATGCTATTCACCTTTATTGTTCTGCCTTTTGATTAATAAAGGTAATGTTTGAAATATTCCTCTATGTTATGTACTGTATCTTTAATCCACATTGTTTACATTTGGTGTTTGATCACTGCCCGTTTAGTAGTCTTTAGTGGGAGGCAGGGATACATTTTTAGGGCAGTTTGCTCATAATCAGCACTGAATTGATAGATGTGAGGTGTTTCAGATCAAAGAAATTACTTGTATAATTTGTTGGAATACATATTTATTGATGGGAAAGTATTAGCACTTTGTTTTATTTTCAAATAATGATACCACTTTACAAACTCATACCACAGACTTAATAAAAAAATAGTTTTTTTATTTTATAGTTGGCCCTTATGACAGTAAAGTACCATATGATATGTGAACTTTACTCTCATTTTGCTGACATTTATATTTTATCTTTTACAGAGACCTACACTAATGAAATCCTGGAGGCATCTCAGGACTTTGCTTAATTGTAGACGTCTTGCAGCATGGATTAGACAGCAAGTGCAAGCAGTAAACGGATTTGATAAGATATATGCTTTGGTTTGAGCAGCTCATGTGGGAGAGTTGTTTGCAATACTTTTCATTTATTTCTGACAAGGAAATCAATTAAAGAGTTGTATTATTTGGTGTTTAATGTCCTTTTCATGCTATACATAAATATTTATCAGTCAAAAGATATTTAGTAACCAGTGTGTCAGAGGGAATATTTTAATTTTTTCTCTCTCTCTCCTTCTCCTTCCCTTCGTATTACTTCCTTTCCTATATTGCACACACACAAGTAATTGTATATCCTTGCAAACACAGATGTAAATGTGTTGTTCATGTATATATAGCTATTGTTCTGTCCCTCTTGAAATTAAATGCAATTTTTTTGGGGGGATGGCTCTGTATAATTGCTAAAATTCTTAGGTAACATCTGTTATATAATTTTCATATGATTAAAGAATTTATTCTATTTGATAATATCAGATTTACTGTTTTATTGAGTGAAATAGTTAAAAGTTATAATAATCCCAAGGATTTTGTATTTCTCTAAATATCTCAGGGCAAAAAGTATAAAAAAGCAACAACAATAATAATAACAGGAAAGATCCACCACATTCATGTATATTGGTTTATTTTGAAAGATTTTCCTCAGCACATGTGCAGTTTATTTTTATATGCATATGAAATAATCTCAGTGTATATAAGCACTAGATGCTGGATTGCATAAATAGTTTCATTTCTACTGTTACTCTTGAACATATTCAATGGCTAATTAGTATAAAAATCTGAATATTGCACATACATTTATTGAGTATATTGATTTGTCTTTGACCTACTTACGAGCTGCAGCTACAAGTTTGTAATTAATTCTCATAAAGTCCCGTGAAAGGCATGCGGGGAGT